CTGGTCTTGTCTGACCAGTGACCAAACACTGGACCAAACAGCAGCCCACTGAAGCTGAACGCAGATAGACCCAAGCCAAGAAAATAAGGTGGCGCCTCTAATAACTGCAGATATCTCCATATAGTGGGCAGAATGACAGCTGGGAGAGAGAGAATACAATTTAAACAGTAGATGTGCAAAATACAATCAATCCATTCACCATTTACACATTAATACAGTTTAAGGCTTTCTTGAGGATATTAAGCACTATCGATTCAAACAAGCAATCATGCTGCATGGATTTTTTTGTATTAGGGAGAAAAGAAAAGAATAGGTCAAATATACTTACCATATTCCACGCCACTCAAAAGGAATATCAATCCAATAGTCAGAAACGACAGTTTTCTTTTTTGTCTGTAATCCATCTTAGTGTTTCTGTAGGTTATTTTCTCAGCACTTGATCATTCCTCTTCCTCATGGTTCAATTATTGTAATGACAGGGATGATATTCTCCATTACTGGCTCTGGTAAGTAACCTCGTCTTACTGTAGGCTATGTCTCTTTTTTGTTGGTCATGGCAAATTTATTTTATTCAGAAAAAGAAAAACTATAAACCATGTGGTGCCGGCGAGTTTAGGAAAGACTAGGGAAAATTCGGTTTTGATGATTTTACACAGACACGCTGTTGATGTTCAAGTGGATCCCTTTTCCTTGAATATGATCATTCAGGTCACAATAAAAGTCGAAGATAAATGCCGTATAATTTACCTCCTCATTGATGCAGCATTGAAGATAAACGGGGCTCAGACACTTCCAGGAGTCTCTGTACACAGAACAAGCACCAGAGATCTAGTATTACCTGTGGGCTTGTATCCATTATTTATCGTGTTCAGGTGAAGTGGACTGTAATTCTACTCCCTTAAAGCTGTATCTTCACTTCTTTGGATCGTTATTAGAGAAATTCAGCTAATTACTTACTGGCAATGATATATATTTATGCAGGGTGGCACTTCATGATAACGTCATTAATTGGTCATTAACAGACATTAGTGGTTTTTATTATTGTACCACTAACCAAACGTAATATGGCATTGCAATGAATTTTTTGACAAATACCTTGGAGGTTTGCATAATCATATCATGGTAATCATATCAAAGTACCGTGGTTTTACCATCAGTGTACCTCCTATGTGCATCTTTATAAGGGACATTAGAAATGTAATAATAGTTTGATTAATATATTTAATTCATATATTTGCATTTGAATATACCTTCCCTTGTGAAAAAGGAGTGTGCTTCTTGTATTAAATGTGCACTTATAGTGTACTTCAATTCTTACAAGTTTATTGTTAAAAAAACTGTACTTACAGTACAGATTATAATATTTATTAAATAAAAGGCCACTTAAAGAGAATATGCTTTCATGACTGTTTCTTGCTTTAGCGAAGTACACTTTTTTGATGTGTTGACTAATATATTAAAGCACATGTAAAGTACTTGATTATAAAATTAATTTGAGTGTGTTATTCTATATTAAATGTGAAGTTTAAACTTATATTTTATTACTATTTTATTATTACATGTATTTGCTCATTTATTTATTTAAATGTACTAAATCTTTCTGAAATGTTTAACTACAAATATATTTAAATACATGACATACTGTACAAGATTTAACAGAAATTAAAGCATAAGCATATTTTAGTTTGCCATAAATTCTTGTCAGTACATCTGACAGTAAAAGTAATTAGGAAATGATTAAGTAATTATGAAATTAAATACAAAGATATACTTAAGTACATTGAAAAAGCACTCTAAATTTCAGCTAATTGCATTTAATACATTCTATAATACGTTTAATAATATATTTTAATTAAGTTGCAAATTAACATGCAATTAAATGTTCGAAACCCTTACATTCAGTTTGCACTCAAGTATATTCTTTTAAAGTATATTATTAAAGTGTATTTTATTTTCATAATAAGCATCCTAAAAGTGTCTGTTAAGAATTATGCAATATTTGTTAATGACTTCTTAGAACATTTGTTATAAAATGTTACCCTTCCATGTTTTGCATTTAAAACTCAATACAAAATTTGGTAACACTTTATTTTAAGGTGTTCTTGTTACACGTTACATGTACTTACTTTTATAATAACAATAAATTATGCATAATTACATGCAAGTAACCCTAAGACAAACCCTAATCCTAACCCTAACCATATAGGAAGTACATGTAATTAATTAATATTACTCAGTACTTAAATGTATAATTACACTGTAACAAGGACACCTTAAAATAAAGTGTAAATGTATAAGTAACAAGGACACCTTAAAATAAAGTGTAACCCAATATTTAAACTAATATCACTTTTTTTTTTTTTTTTCCGTATGGCCCATATGTTTGTCTCTCATAGAGTTAACAGCATTGGCTTATCATCCTAATCACATATAATGTACTGTATCAGATGTGCTTTTACTGTATATGGACACCATGTTCTGTTTCACAAAGGCCTCTGAAAGTACTTTCATATATACCAGCCCAGAGGAGTTCTATATCCAACTAACAGTCAACTAATACCCTATTTACTGCCTGGTAATGCCAGAACAGCTTATACTTAATATGTTTTCTTTAGAAATAAGCCAAAATGTTACCACAATGTAGGTCAATATAACAATATTTTGACTTTTTACAACTTAATTTCACTATAAACTAAAGCTTAACTTAGCAAAAGTTTGAATTTTCACGTGGGTTAAAACTAATAACATTTTGTTAGTCAGTGTTAAATTTAGTTGACTTACTATACATAAAGACAACTCTGAAAGACCTTAATGTTTATTGTGTTCTTTTAATTATACATCATAAAACACATCAACACTCGACTGTCAAGCGAATATAGGCCACTGTTTAAACAAAATGGTTTGTTTTTATTTATTTTTTTCTATGGTGCTATTTACTTTTAGACAAACTGAACAAAATGGGTCGGAAACCATGATATTTTATTAGACCAATTTAAAAATGAACTTTAAAGGGGTCATATGACGTTGCTAAAAATAACATTATTTTGTGTATTTGGTGTAAAGTAATGTGTTTATGCGGTTTAAGGTTCAAAAAACACATTATTTTCCACATACTGTACATTATTGTTTCTCCTCTATGCCCCGCCTTTCTGAAAAGCATCCATTTTTACAAAGCTCATCGGTCTGAAAAGCGAGGTGTGCTCTGATTGGCCAGCTATCCAGTGCGTCGCGATTGGCCTAATACCTCAAGCGTGTGACGGAAATGTTACGCCCCTTACCATATTGTGATGCCGTGTTTTTATACAGTCTATGGTCCCGGCGCGACGAGACAAAAACAATAAAACCCATTATAAATGAGGCATTTGTTGCATCCAGTGGGGACATAATTACTGATTATAATGACTTATACTGTCTTTTTACGCGTTGAGTTGCGTATCACGCCGCGTAAACATAAAACCATGTCTGCATTTGTGATCGGAGAAACGACAAACAACAAGCGCTACTCTACACTGCTCAAAACTCACGTTTGAATCATAAGTGGCAAATTCTTTAAATGTGAAAACGTACTTACAGTCTGTGAGTCAGAAGCACCAGACTGTCTTGCAAAGTTGGAATTGCTAGATTCCATTGCATTGTAGGCTACTCTCCCGGGTTCAGGAAACAGTCCTACGTAAAATGTGCTGCACACATCTGAATATTTGGGTTGAACTGTTCTGGAACAGTGTTGTAAATACAACTTAACCTTTCAGGCGCTGCGTAATATCATTGCGCCTGCTGCACTCATGGTACAGCAGCAAAGTTCCTTGATTATTACGCTGGAATGAAATTATACTTCTTTCTTTGCATGAACATTTGGGTGGCGTTATGTAAATCTTCCCACATAGCGACGTAGACATGTGGGGGCGTGTTTAAATGAGGCGTTTTAGGAGGGCGTGGACCAGTCTTAAATTTTATTAAGAATATCTCTTTGGGTTTGAGATTTTAGTCTTTGCAACTTTAGGGATCTTATCTATTCACGAACAGCTTGTAACACTCCAAAGAGAAAGGAAAACTTGAAATCGCATCATATGACCCCTTTAAGTAAATGAGAGTTATTTCACTTTTTTTCAGGGAGACAAATCAGAACAGCTAAATCAAACACATATTAGCACCCTGGCAGCCACCTAAATTACTCTTTGATGCCAAAAAAGAAAAAAGAAAAAAAGCTTTAAGGTTATTTTATTTAAGCTGCAATACTTACAGCCTCAGCAGTTGCTGATCCAGGTGCACAATGTTGTTCCAACAAATTGTTTACCTTTTCATATACAGTAAATCATTCGTTAATAATTAACATTATTTTGGATAAAAACTCATTCATTATTGATACACTGTTGTGCTCATAAAGCTAAAAGTCCTCACTTTTGTCATTCAGTGTGAATCGTTTAGTCAGTCTTGTTTAATAGCTACATAAAGCTATCATGCACAGAAGAACGCATGTTTTGAGGTAAGATTTGGAACTTGCATCATTTTAGAATCTGTGTTACAGGAAAGTAAAGATAATTCCATGAGTTTCTGCAGACGGGGTTGGGAGTTGGACACTTCTACACAATTTGTTGTTGTTGTTGTTGTTTTATATGCAGTTTTTTTGTTTTGTTTTTTGGTGGTGGTGGGGGGGGGTTCATTTACTTCATTGTTTTGTAGTTTATATGTGAAAATAGAAAAACACTGTCAGGAGTGCTTGGAGTCCCATAGGACGTAATTATAGTCTGGCTGCAGGGGTTCCTATAGAAACCCATCTGTGGCATCCCTGTTTAGGCAAAGGAAAGATATTCCGCTGATCTCATCTGGATGAGAAGAAAACAATCCCTTAAGTGCACTCTGTTGTGCACTACAGGTCTGACGGCTATGCAGCACGCTGCTTCTGTGTCTGGATGTATAGTATATTGACCTTGTCAAAGTGGGGTCGGTGTTGTGTTAATTTAGTGCTGTAACCCAGTTAAGGGTTACTTAGTAAGATAGAAATGCTACTGAATCAGTCCCCGCGGGGGTCATTCAGTGTTCCTGTTAACATCACCCTGCTGGGCGCGCGGCGACGACACACGCGGTACGTATGGAGATCACATCCACTGCCTCAGTCTTCTCTTTTATTAAAGCTACTTGTCCAGTTGTGACACTAGTATGAGATACCAATGTATTAAGCATTGAGTTATTTCAAATAGCAATAACAATAGCAGTCTAACTGACAGTCCATTATCTATTTCTTGTCCACTACTCTTTTATATTTAACCTTATATTAACTTAAAATCATGAAGAGCTAGTTCACCCAAAAATGACATTTTCATCATTTACTCACTCTCATGTTGTTCCAACCTGTGAAAAAGAAGGGTGCTTAACTGTATTAAGTGTGCACTTGTAGTGTACTTCAAATCTTAAATGTGTATTTAAAAAAAAAAACCTGTACTTACAGATAATATAATAATTAAATAAAAGGCCAAAATGTACTTAAAGAGAGCACACTTTCTTAACATGTTAAAAAATTGCACTTTGTTATAATGTCAGATAGTTTTAAATCATTATTTTTAAATAAACTTTTGGCATGCTTGAAGTACACTTATTTTAATGTGTTAACTTAAATATAAAGCATATGCAAAGTACTGTACTTGATTATAATTTTAACTGTAGTGTGTTGTTATTTACGGTTACATTAAAAGTGTATATAGTTTAAATGTAATAAATATAATAAATTGATATATTTAAATACATGATATACACATTTCAATAGAAATGACATTAAAGTCAGCATGTATATATATATATTTTAAATTTATAATATATTTTCATTTAATTGTAAATAGCATGCAAGTAACTGTCCAAAAACGTTACATTCAGTTTACACTTAATTATATTCTTTCCATAACAAGTATTCTTTATGTAACCCCCCACCCCCACTTCAAGTCATAAGTCATACATACAGTCAATAAACATAATATATACAATATAAATAACTATGCCGAATGTATATAGATGTTTATATGTATATAAACTCCTTTGAGTTGCTTTTGAAAGTGTGAACTGCTTTTATGGTTTTATTGGTTTTATGTTGTTGTTTGTTTTTTTAGCTTTAGGTTGCCATGAATTTCTGATGATTCTTCAGAATTTCTCCTTTTGTATTTCATGGACAAATAACAGCATATAGATAAAGTTAAGTAAGTTATGTAAAGTTATGTTTGTTTGTTTTTAGGGATGTCTTCTACCAGCAAGCCCAAATGCAAAAAAATGGAGGCAAGTGGAGGAAAGCGAGTGAGATGAAGTGCAATGAGAAAGCCAGAGCTCAAATCCCAGAGTCCAGCATAGGAGAAGACAGAGCCGTTCTCTTGGGCTTCACCATAATGGCCTTCTCCATCCTCATGTACTTTCTGGTGGGAATCGTGATGGTGAAACCAAGTCTTTACAGGTTAGCTTCAGTTCTTCAGGTAGACTGCTTATTAGTAGAATAGTATCCTTTCATATTGTAATTTTCTTTTTGCTGATCTTGCAATTAAAACATCAGTTGCTAATATCAACACAATGAAATATGATGACCATAAATAAATATGAAATAATTTGAAATAAAAATTGCTATACAGCATAGCCATACCTTATTACATTTTTACATTGTAAACCTTCACATCATTTGTGTTTGTAACAGTGACTGGAAACCTAACAACTGCACACTGGTGCATATGTATTTGGTGGATGAAGTGATGGATTGCCATGGCATTGATAGCTTTAAATGCCTGCGTGTTTTGGTCAACAGCACCCCTGAAAAAACCCTTCGACTTTACCACGATGAAGACACTGCCAAATACAGGCCAAAGGTACTGTTGTCAGTGTGAATTTAATCACAATTTAATCACCGTCATTCCAAATACTAGGATTTTTATGGACTATGATCGTAATGCCAAGCTCCAAAAAGAAAAAGAAAAAAGCACCATAACGGTACACAGAGACTAACTGTAAAATCTTTATAGATCTCATTTACATTTACAATTCTGCCAACCAATTGGCATTTAGTATCCTCATATATTTGCATAAATGCACCTTCAAATTAGATTTGACATTTGTGCTTTTATTTATTAATACATTTTAATTTATGAGTTTTATTTCAGTCTGCTCCTTACACAAATAAAAAACAACAAAATGTCAATTGTGTGAAATAATCATTTAGCCTAATTCTACAATTAAAGTGCCATTTGCATCTTAAAAGTCAAACAATCCTACATTAAACTATATGAACTATTTCTTTTATCTGTATCTGTTTATCTCTTCTTTATCTATTGTATGCACGGTCACACTAAATAATTATATGATGATGATGGTGATGATGATGATGATGATAAATGACCAATTAATTAACTTAATTAAAGCAGCACTATGTAACTTTTTCTGTGTTCAAAATTTGCAAAATGTATATAATGAGCGAGTACATCATGAATTAATCTTCCAGACCGCGTTTTTGTCTTATTCCGAATCACTACGGTACACTTATAATAAGTACTTATATTTGGACTATTGTAGACTGGTCGGGTCGTCACCGCTGCGGAGTAACACATACCTGCGTGAATCGCCATAGACATAAACTTAGAGAAGTAGCTCCGGTTGGAATGTTCTTCCGCGGAATGTGTGCAGTTCTGTTTATTAACCGCTAGAGCGCCAAAAGTTACATAGTGCTGCTTTAAATAATTCATCAGTATTTTAAAATAATTTTTGAATTACTGAAATTTTGAACATGATATAAATTGTAATCATACATGGCAACTATGTATCATAAATGACAAAGAAGCTCAACATTTCAAATGGCTTTTTAAAAAAGTTCTGAAACATTGTTACTGGAGAATCACAAAAACCACACATGATCTTTAGCAGTAATTTTAGGTTGCATCGACACTACTGACATTAAAATTAAATTAATTTAAAAATTAATATGAAAATAATAAATTTAAATAAAAGCCAGTTAAATATAATACAAATTTTGACTTATTTCAGTGAGTCAAAAATACTATATTTTACAACAAAAATGTTTTGCCTCTTTTATGCATTTATTTATTGCCTCTTTTTAATTTTTTTTTTCATGACAAAAAATAAGTAGCGGTGATGCTTTAAAAATGAAAAAGACTGTCCATTATTTAAAGATTATATACTGTTCCAAGTTGCAGACAAAAAAAAATTATGAGTTCATTTGCAAAAGCCGATAACTCCATTTTTATTTTTGTTTTCCGAAATCACGTTTTTTTATTATTGCGCATTCCAAGTAATATCAGTCAAACTGCAGTTGGGTTGTTTTGATTAAGTAATAATAAATCGTCAGATGACAATGTACTGTAGATGCCTGACAAACGTTGTTGTTGTTGTTGTTATCATAAACTGTATGGATGTGATTACACAGAGCTTTTCCTTCACCATTGTAACGCGCCAACAAGGGCGCTTGTCGGCTTCTGCAGTAAAATGTGAACTGAAAGTGGACAAAACCGGCTTTTTTAACAAAAGGTGTTTAGGGTTCAGATCGCGCCATATGTGGACAATAATGCACGGCAATAAGCTCTTTTTTTTTTAAAGTGGCGTTTATCGGTTTTTGCAAATGAACTCTTCATATATATATAGTTCATCTTTTCATAGTCACTGACCATGTAAAGGTCTGAAATATCTATTTCAATTTTAGATTGCATTAATGCTTGCCATAATCTTTCCCTCAGTGTTTCTATACTCCGAAATGCCAACGAAACAAGACTGAACAAGAGGCTGAGGCCAATAACATCAAAGATGTGTTAATTGTGCGAGGGGATAATATGACATGCTATCTCAGTGCGGCACACCCAAACGACGCCATCATTAGGAGGAAATACACCGTTCAAATGGCCTTGTACTACCTGCTGTGGCCCAGCCTCATGTTGTTCGGTGGAATCCTGCTGGTGGGGCTGGTGAAGCTCAACCAGCATCTTGCTTTCCTCTACACTGAGATCAGTAGAGAGGAGTTACTAGGATAGCAGAGTAAAGTGACGGAGGGAAGGATCTACAGGCTCTTAAGATGGAGGTCTGGAGGCCCCACAGAGCAGCACGACCCAGATAGAAAATAATATAATGTGCCCCTACTGCAGTGGGCAGGTTAGTAGTCATAATGACTTTATTCAGTGTCTTATGAAGTTAACATTAGTGCCTTACACCCTGTGGCCATAGCTTTTTATAACATTGTGATTGTTCATTATAATCAAATAGGCAATGAACCATTTCAAGAGGTTATAGATGCAGTTAAGAGGGTAAATTCAATGAGCTGAATGTAGAGGGGTTTGTTTATTCATTGGAACTGATTTTAACCATTTTAGCATTACAGTGAATGGGTGCCATCAGAATGAGAGCCAGCTGATAAAAACATCCCATTAATCCACAAGTAATCCACACCACTCCAGTCCAGCAAGTAACATCTTGTGAAGTAAAAAGCTGCAAATTTCCATTTTTGAGTGAACTATTTCTTTATTTTAATAATGGTGAGAAAAAAAAGATAATATGCTGACAAAACATTAAGATTACTGACATTTCCTTCAACCTTTAAACACAACACAATGCAATGCGTAATTCAAAATATGGGTGAAAAATCAACACAGAAAATTCAGTTCTTGTTGCTTTTGAAATGGCCACTTTTCCTGATCCAGTCAATCAAATCCTGTTGTATAAAACCAAGCCACGTCCTACATTTTCTCTGTTGAATATTTTGTATCACTCAGAAATACAGTACATCACATTTGCAAGTAAATGGGTTGTGAATTAATTAAAGTCAAATTATTAAAAAAAAGCTTGTATGAAACAATTCATTAATAAAAATTGCTTAATATATTATATAACATAATAATAGCTCCCATTCAATGAGATATGAAATGTAAAAAGAACATTAGTCATATTCATCGGTGAACTAAACACTGTATATATTTGAAAAAAATATTCTAATAATTAATCAGTCATTTCTTTTTTACTCACTAATTTATCCCTTTTAAATTCTTGATTATTTACAAACCCGATTCCAAAAAAGTTGGGACACTGTACAAATTGTGAGTAAAAAAGGAATGGAATCATTTACAAATCTCATAAACTTATATTTTATTCACAATAGAATATAGATAACATATCAAATGTTGAAACACAATTTGTACAGTGTCCCAACTTTTTTGGAATCGGGTTTGTAGATGAATTATTTTTCAATGATTATATACTTTATGATAATATTCCCAAGTCTTATAACAGATTAGAAACAGTTGTCAAAAGGTTAGATGTTAGATTATATTGCACAATTATTCTGTATATTGTAATGCCCTTCTACAAACAGCACTATACTCCATCTGGAATAGAGCAGCACTTCAGAGATATGAGTTGTGGTTACAATATAGCTTAGTCATGGAAGACTATACATATCAATTTCCAGTCAATCCTTGAACAGCAGGAGGCCAAAAACCATTTGAGGAAGAAATGAAAGCTCCTTCATTCACTTCACTAAGTCTGTCAATCACTGTGCCCCTTTCACTTTGGGGCTTTGCCAATTTGTTCACACAGTATGGAAAGGTACTGAGCGAGCTTGACCATGAGTATGATGAGGGTTCCTCCAGATAGCATGCAGGAGGCCCAGAAGAGAGAGTGGAAGACAGACGGTTCAGGAGGATGCTGCCCTGATGCTCGCTGGAGTCGTGGTAACATGTCACCTGCTGGTTCGAAATGTCCTGGATCATAACACGCAGGGCGGCGAGGTCCTTCTGCCATTTTGGCACATAAAAAGCGATTAGTCAACAGAAGAGACAGACGGCTGCACGTGAGTGTCCTGCATAATACTTGTTTATAGATCTGCTGTTGGAATTATTACTTGCTGCTAGGAAGGAATATTTCGTTTTCTGCCTATTTCTACGTTATATTTTTGTTTGCGTTTGTATTTTTGATTGCACTTTCTGGTAATTATAATAATTGCCCTCGGCAAAGAAGGAGCGCGTGTAATTTAATTGCTCCCTTCCTGCGTTTAAGTGCGAACTGTAGTTTCGATTTGAGGAATTGCCCTGCTATAGACTATTGGCTTTGCTAATTAGAAGGCGGCCACAGCGACCGTAGAGTATTTAAACTGCTTGGTCACTGTCATAACTTGGGTCAAGCGATTAGTCAACAGAAGAGACAGACGGCTGCACGTGAGTGTCCTGCATAATACTTGATTATAGATCTGCTGTTGGAAGTGTTACTTGCTGCTAGGAAGGAATATTTCGTTTTCTGCCTATTTCTACGTTATATTTTTGTTTGCGTTTGTATTTTTGATTGCACTTTCTGGTAATTATAATAATTGCCCTCGGCAAAGAAGGAGCGCGTGTAATTTAATTGCTCCCTTCCTGCGTTTAAGTGCATAAAAGCGTCTGCTAAATGACTAAATGTAAATGTAAATGTAAAAACACTGTGGAAAAACAAAGGCATGAATTATTTGTTTAATAATATTTAATGATTAATTCATTTTGTATTTAAAGAGAATCATTTATTAAATCTCAAAAAGTATTTGAATGGTAGTGTAGATTTAAAAAAATATATATTATTATTATATTTTATTTATTTATTTTAGTTTTCTGAATACGTTTTTGTATGTGGGGGCGGTAATACATTTAATCAGCAAGGACACATTAAATTTATCAAAAAATAATAGTAGTAAGAGATTTATAGTGTTACATAAATTATAAATTCTGTCTTTTGAATATCTCTATTTATCAAAGAAAACTGGAAAAAGGTACCATGGTTTTCACAAAAACAGTCTTCTCGCAAAACAGCTGTTTTCAATATTGATAGTAATAATAAATGTTTATTGAGCAGCCAATCAGCATTTTAGAATGATTTCTGAAGGATCGTGTGACCAGTAATGGACGCTGAAAATTCAGCTCTGTCCTCACATAAATTACATTTTAGAAAATAGCTGTTTTAAACTGTAACAATATTTTACAATGCTATCATTTTACAGTATTTTTGATTAAATAAAGGCAGCCTGAATGTGCATTTTTATAAACACTAAAATATCGTGCTAAACCCAAACTTTTGAACAGTATAGTGTGTATATAGTGTGAAAGGTTCATTTTAAATTGAAGGTCCATTTAAATTTTAATTCATTCACAAGCAGAACAAACGTAACTCTTTTTAATAATATCTTCTTCTTTTTTTTCAAGCTTCCACTTGATCATAATAATCATGACAATTGTATTTCTAAGAGATTGCGCAAATCGCAGGAGTTTTGAGCAGTCTGTTTGTGATTTAATAATTTTTGCTAACTTATTTTGTAATGTCAATCACTCTACAACCCTGCCCTCCAAAGGCCTGTCAGTCAATCCAACGTCTGCACATCTTAAAATGCAAATTGACTGAGAGTGAGCATTTCTGAATGTCTAGATTTTGGATTGGCTAAAATTCCTTAGAAACTGGACTGCATAAGCTGGAAACTGTCTTCAAAGAATTGATTGAGTTTATTGACTCTAACTGTTGAAAATGTTCTATTTGGTCTCAATTGAATCTCATTGCTATAGGAGAAACCACTGCGTTAATTAATTTCCATGGTCTTCCTCAGTTCACGGAATGATTGACCTCAGAATTGATGTCCAGCATCTCCTCATTGTGAGAGAGCAGCCCAATGCAGCCGGTGGCGTTCAGGCTGACGTAGACCTGTAGACAGGGGTACTTAGAGCTCCGCCAGCTGTCTGAGTCACAGGTGTATGAACAATTGATATCCTTTGTTAGACTGGAGTTTAGCACAGTGCAGGTGGTTTCATCTGTCAATACACTAGAATACAAAAGAAAGAAAACTTTTAAAAGAGAAATACACTCAAAAATAAGGTTTCCATAATGGGATGAACATTTGTGTGTGCAGTACAGCCAAACACTAAACCAGCTGTCATAATTATTCAACCTCTATTCAACTATTCAAGTCACTTATTTGTATGGTAGTGAACAAAATTGTGTTAAAACACAATTAAGATTTTGGAAACTCTATCACTGAATTAACTTGAGTTGTTACACGTACATGAACTTAGCCCATGCATGTGTGAAAGTTGAGTAGCATATACGGTAAAGCCAAGAGCTCTCAAAAAAGCCACAGAGATGAAACCATTTCAATGCACAGTATAAGAAGAACACTAGACAAGCATGGCCTTCATGTTGGGACATCTCACCAAACGCCACTCTTGACCAACTACAACATAAAAAGGCAGAATTGAATATGCTAAAAAAATATATATATCTGAATAGACCTTTGGAGTTCTGAAAGAATGTTTCTGGAATCATGTGACCAAACTGGAACTTTTTTATGGATTATTGGTATGTGTGGTGCAAAAAAAAGCTTATGAGCAGAACACCATTCCCATGGTCAAACATGCAAATCCACATATGTCCAAATCTACCAAAGCTTTGTTCAAGTATTGGTCATATAGAATGTTCTTGATTGGCCTGTTCAGTCTTCAGTTTTAAATCTGAATAAAAATATTTGGTGTAATTTAAAGGAAGTGGCAACATGAAAACCAAAGATTTTCAGTGATCGGGAAGCTTTTGAGGCTAAGATTTATTAGAGAATCTGGCAACATTTATTGGAGATTATAAAGAATAAAAGACAAAATTTGACTTTTGGGGGTTGAATAATTTTGTAAATGAAAGTTTAGAGAAAATACTTTTTTTTTTCCATTAACTTTACATTCTCAGAATCAATGAAATGTGTATTAATAAACTTTCTATAATAGTTTATCTTCAGCAAGTGTTTTGAGAGACTCGTCAGAGACTACATCTGCTCATTGCTGCCTGCCTCACTGGATCCGCTACAATTTGCATATCGTAGCAACCGTTCTACACAATAAAAGTGACTTTGACTTTGACTTTGATACCTGGGGTGAATTGTTTTCATAAAATATTGTTCACTGCAACAGAATGCATTGCAGGTCAAGGGGGGTGAATATTTTTGATTGCAACTGTAGATACACTGATGATGTAGTTATTGTTTTAG